AAGATCTTGATCCTTGTTCTCGTCCAAAAAGACGGCAGCCTTACAATGCAATGTTTTCTCCAAAGGGCAAGGAGCAGAAGACATAGATGCTGAAGCAAAAACAGGACAGACGACAATTTTTTTCTTTTTAGTTATTTATAGATAAAGTTAGTATTAAACACTGATTTTTTATCTTCTGTAAACTGATTTATAAATCATTTTTCTATTGAGAATGTTTTTAAATGTCATTTACCCACCACACATACAATTATTTAAAAATGTAGATGAGTTTATGTTGTGTTTTCTCCCTTTTGCACCTTTAGAACAGTAAGGTGCTTTCATTTTGCACTCTAACTTAAGAGTTACTTACTTTATTTGATAACACTTAATTACAATTTTGAAAGTAAAGATAGCTGTAGTCTGCGATTTGTTGACTTTCAGATCGTTTTTTTTTACTCCCATCTTCCCTTGGTATTTACATTCACCAGTGACTTCATATTAATCATTACAAAGTTTCATCCTTGTAATCAGTTGCTCTTCTGAAGGTCATTCCAGTGTCTGACATTTAAGTCTTTTTTTTAAAAAAGGCTAAATTTTAATAGTCTCTTAACTTTCTAGCTTCTTTTTTAGTTGAGTTGAAGTACTATAGGGAATTCTTCCAAGGTGACCAAAAGTGTCAACCTTTTTCTTTCCCCAAATATATATATACTATAGGTTAAGGTCATCTAACATCATCCTCTGATCTGATCATAATATTCTAGATCCTAACATGTTTTCTTTTCATCATACTTTTTTTCTGGTGCAATTTTCAAGCTGAATTTTCTCTTTTCTGCCCGTGTGTTCATATTCAGTTGTATTGTTTCTCTGGATTGACTGATGTTAAGAACTTCCAATTTGACAACAAAATAGGTTTCTCTATATAGCCACTTTCTGATCCTCTAGGACCTAGTAGTGTCTGAGTCATTAAGATCATTCAGAGTAAGATGATACATTTGTGTGACCTTTTATAGCAACATTTTGTTCACCAATGTCTTTTTGTATATTCTTTTAATCCATATCTCAACAGTATCACTACATAAGCAGGAGCATATGAGACACTGAATGGATGCCTCACCAATGTCTAAATAACCTTATAGATATAAACTTCCCAGAGTTCCTAAAAAATCTCTTTGCTTAGTCTCATCTTCTGCATTGGTCAGGGTTCTCATGTGAATAAATGACATAAGTTTGTGTTTTCACAGAGAGGATGGAAAAAGAAACCATATACAGTGAATATCTACTATATGTCAGACCCCTTATGTACATGGTTTGGCTCTGAGTGTGAGTCTGGATTTTATCAGCTTCTATTCAGTACTTCTATTCCTTTCCAAATTGTTTATTCTGTGTTCGATTTTTGTTCTCTGCTTGGCAGTCAGCTAATCTCCCCAAAATAAAAGAAGCCATTCACTGGTTGCTTACTCTCTGCCAGGAACTATGTTATGCTCTTCACATAGATTTTCCCTTTTTAATCCTCAAATAATCTTGTGAATTTGTGTATCAGCTGAACATTAAGCTGCAAAAATGGATCCAGAAAAACAGATTAAACAACAAAAGACTGGTTTTATTTTTCTCATATTAAAAAGTCTAGGTCAGCAGTCCAAGACTGGTAATACAGTTTGGTGATACCCTCATAGACCCAGAT